TTTTTTTAGTACACTTAACTACTGCTGAAAGTTTAAGCAACCCCGAGTCCTCTCTTTCTCTTAAAATCTGCAAACAATCCATCAGAACATTCTATTGACTCTGCAATTAAAAAAACCCCCGAGTCTGACCACTTCTCCCATCTTCACGACTATCTCCCTGATCTGGCCTCTGTAATTCACCTGGATTACTGACTGCCACAGCTCCTAACAGCTGACTCTACCCTCACCCCTGTTCCTGGCTGCAGGCACACTGACCTCATTGCTGTTCCATGAATGTTCCAGGCTCATCTCACCTGGTGTCTTTTGCTCTGTCCCCCATATACCTACTTGAAGAACAACTCTGCTGCTGCAAACCTGTGCTCCAATCTCATTTTCTCTCTGAGCCTATCTGATGAACACTGCAACCTATACTTGGTCTCCCCTAAGCTTGATCCAATTTTTCTTTCCTCCACATTACTAACCACCTTCTAACACACATTGTACTTACTTTTTCATTATGTTTATTATTATGCACTGTTTCCCAACCCTGGCCCACCCCTTCTAGAAGACAACTTCCATGACTGTAGGAATCATTTGTTTTATATATTGATGTATTCCAAGTACTCAGACCAGTGCTTGGCACATCCTAGGTATACAATAAATAGTTGCTGAATGAACTAACAATATTGGCCTTGGCGTTTAATGTAGCACCAACTGGGAGACCTGTGTGAGTCTAGGTTTATAAAAAGTAAAGCCAGGAGTAGAAAATAAAATTTCAAACATTCATGTTGAAACTATAATACTCAGTTTCTCTAAACACAAATATATTTGGCAGCATTTACCTTTAGAATAACATAAAAACTTCTTAATGTATAAATAATATTACCTGGCTGGGTAGCCCAGTTGGTTAAGAGTGTTGCCCTGATATGCCAAGCTAGCGGGTTCAACTCCTAGTCAGGGCACATACAAGAAGCAACCAATGAATGCATACATAAGTGGAACAACAAATCTCTCTCTCAAACAAATAAATAAGAATTAAAAAATTATAAATGAAATTAACTAGGTTCATAAATACAAAGAAAGTCCCAGGACACCAACTGTCTAGGTTGTTTCTTTCTATAAACTTCTCCATCTGTGTAAGATTGCCTCAGCTTGATTGCCAATTTTATCTTCTTAATCTAAGTTCTATTCTCATTACCCTTCCATTTCTATTTTTTATCCTCAGGGAAAGACAGAGCAGTTACTGCCAAGGCATTCTCACATCTTCTAAAGAAATGGCATAGGTGTTAATCTTGTGTTTATGTTTGATGTGGGTAATGATGGCTATGACTGGAACTGTAGGTTTATTAATATGCAGGGCTCTCACCTCATTAGTGGCAATGTATGTTTTGAAGTTAAGCTGCAATGTTTGCTGTAATGTCAGATCTGGCCTAACAGACTTTCTCACTGTTCATTTTCTTTGTTTTTACCCAGTCAGTACATGCTATGTTTATAGGTCTCACACATATGCTTTCTTAATAAAGACAATTTTCTCACAGTAGTAAATCTTGGTGGAAGTTTCAAACATTTTTAGTAATTATGTCCTCATGTGATATATACATGTTTATCTTAGAGAAAAGATTTTCATAATTTTTGATCCAGTAATAGAGTATAATAAACTCTCTCCCTGGCTTGATTTGGGAGTGGGGGATGCTTATTAAATAGATAAAGTGATTAATTCATAGTTACTATATAATAAAAACCATACCTAATTATTTGATAGTTTATAAAGTACTTTCATATAAATTATCTCAACCAATTCTTAACAAGAACAAAATAAACACTAGGAAAACCTGACTGAATATAATATTAACCTAACTGAAAATAATATTTGACGATCCATTATGAATGGCAACTGTTGTACCTCAATTTCTAAAAAACTTCCAGTTGATATGTCAAATAAACTAACGTGTACCAGATTAATAAGCCTCATGGAATGGGTGGTTTGTCACTGCTTGGTGCTCAAATTTCATCCTATCTATAATCCTCATTGGATATGCACTATAGGAAAAATTTGATTTTAACAGCATGTTTGGAAGTCACTAATTATGTTTTATAAATCCCACAGTACAGAATAAGTAAATATATACATATATTTAACAGCTAAAAATACAGGAACACTGTATTCCAAGGAAGACATTTAAATGTGAGAAATAGGTTGTTCTCTTTTCTCATTAGGTAACTCAATATATCTCCATTTCGTAATCTTTTAAAAATTGTGTTCATAAATACAAGATCCTGGTTTTTAGGAGCAGCATTTGGTAGGGAAGAAAATGGTGATCAGAGGAGAACACAGGTACTTAGCCCAAGACAAAGGACAAAAAGACTTAGAATACTCATTACTAATAATCTTTCATCATCTTCTGCAGAAGGACACCTGTCTTTGATTTGACAATGTGACACATTCCATCTATAATTCCCCTCACCATTCATTTAGAGAAAGCAAAAATGAGTATATGTGCTTTTAAGAAGGTACAGCAATGGGCTTATACAGCAAAAGTGTATAAACAAGTACATTACCTATTTAATTGCCTTAACTGAACTTAAAAGCTCTGATCTTTAATTGCCTGATTGAACTGATCTAAAAAGCTACAATTTTTTAATCAAGAAGAAAACTAAATAGCTTTTTGGTAAATAAAAAGGCATCTTTAATCTTATTTTTATGGAATTCAAGTTATTAAATATGGACAAAACCTCTAAAATATTAACAACTACTTGATCTAGAGTGAATTTCTCATTACAATGCTTTATAAAAATCTTCAAGGACATCTGGCTTATTCCACTCTTCTATAAAAACACATGCTTTTAAATCCAGAAGGTAACAGTTTACATGAATATCTAGGAAACTGAAAAGCTAAATATATAAATATATTTAATGAGGTATATTACCATAGCATATTATTTCTATAATTGAGTACCCATAATTATTGGGGAATAACCGTTCATTTGCACTGAAGTTCTTTAGTCTGTCCATCTAGACAATGCAGATGTACATTCACTCACTGGTATTTATTTAAAACTAAAATCACTTGAGAGGATTTGTTGGCCCACTACCACTTCCCCCACGCAGCCCCTTGTGGATATCCTCTTCCCAGACCTAGTAGCATTTTCCAGTGGGTGACTCTCTGTAGGAACTGGGTTGGCCAGGATAGACTGAAAAGAGAAGTACAGGCTCAGGATTCCTTAGTGAAACCTCTATGTTCTCAGTCAAACCATTAAGGCCCTCATATGCCACTGATCAAAGAACCCTGTCTTCGGCCACACTGCCTCCAGAGCTGGGAAGAAGGTCCTACCTGCCTCGGAGGCGCTCTCTGGTCAACAACACCTGCCCACAGTGATAATAGGGTAGTTGTACTGGAAATCTGACTAACACAAACTTTATTTTTAGATCCAGATATAAACCATTTGAAACATGTCTATCAAGATCCCATTTCAAATTATTTAATTTGAAAAAATTCATTTCTCTAAAACAAAGAGTAAAACTAAAACCAAAATAATTTAGATACAGAAAATACTAGAGGTATACCTATTCATCAATATCTATTTCTGATTTTTAAAAGAAAAAGAATTGCAGAATAACTAAAGAGTATTTCCCTATCCACTATACTTTCTCACAGAAAGTTATGGCTAGTGAGAATTCATTGTAAGCCAGATTGCGCTGTATGTCCAGGGTATGGGATGGTCCTAAAGATCACTTTAATAGTAACATTTGCATTTCCAGGGCAAGGTCCTTTTAATGGAAGCTTTGCTATTGAGAATTGATGACTTCCTTGAGTTCCTTTGCCAAATGAAGAGCAGATGTCCATAAAAATCAATAAAATGACAAGAACTGACCACTGTGTTAATTCCTATTAAAATGGCTACATGGGTTGATGAATGTGTGGAGGTGGGAATACTGGGAATAGAAGCAATATAAGTCATACCATTTTTTTTTCATCTTGGTGGTGAAAAATGCTCCATTTTTTTTTCCTACTCACAGATGTGTTTACATGCTTATTCATACCCAGAAAGAGTAATACTAACTCTCCCTACATTTACATTTTGCATCAACTATACTTTATAAATACAGTGGACTGGCTTTAAAGAAAAATTTGGGTTATGATTTCATTAATCAGCATAAATACCTTAAAATACCTGAATTGATATTTTATTTGTCAAAATCTACATATCCTCTTCAAAAGAGGAATCACCAAGATATGAAAACCACCATAACAGAACCCTTAGTGACAGATGTGGTACTACAATTAAAGATATCAGTTGTTTTGTCTCTCTCATAGTTTATACGTTTTCTTAAAAAAACTTTCCTTTAATCACATCTAATGTGCATGCTATTGCATTCCCCAAATGTGCATTAAACTATGCTGAGCAGATGTGGAAAATTAAACAATACTGTTAGTAACATTAGGCCCTGAAGTTGCTTTGTTATAGTCTGTTTCTCACTTAATAATTTGTTCCAAATAAATTCAGACATTTTGGGAATATTAAAAAAATGCAAAGGGAGGTCCTTTTGCAACACTGAACAGTTATTTGATTATTCTTCTCATATGTTATGTTAATAAACTAGGAAACTAATTTCTGATGCTTTTACCAATTCATTAAAGTTCTACTTTCAAGGTATGTGAAATAATCTCTTAAGGAACTATGTATGATGACATCTAAATGCTAATTTTTAAAAAAGAGATGCAATTGTACAGAAATGAAGGTTTGCATGAACTAGAGTTAAGAAAGAAAAATAAGATCTTGTCATTTTCAAATACTACAAAATACCTTTATACATGTTTGGTAAATATTATTCACAAAAATACAATACCAAATTTATAATCTAAATCAGAGGAGTTGAGTGAGAAAAGAAAAATAACTTTTTTTGACTATCAAATATATCAGCTTAAATATTACATCACTTATTCACTTTAAAAATCAAGGGATATGAAGAGCTCCCCACCCCACCTAAAATTGTCAAAGCTTGTAAGCTCAGTACATACCTCTGTGTAAAATCTTTAAACTCCACAAATAGGTAAGGCCTTTAACAACCTAAATTTAAGAAAGAGAAAACAGTACAATGATGATTTTTATAAGGACCTTTCCACATTTAAACATATAATAATAGGAACCATAATTCTTCCTTTAAAACTCTGTCAACCAATAAGCATCTCTCATTTGTGTGCCAGGCTGAGGATGCCAAATGTATAAGTGTTCACATTCCTTCTTTTCATGAACTTTCAATGTTCTGAAGATAAGGTATGAGAAATGAAAGAATGAAGTGTATGTGCATAAGATGACCTGGAAGTACATTTACTAAGTTCTTACTAGAGAGGGATAGGAAAAAGGGACAAAGACCTTCAGTTTTTATTTTTCTATACTTCAGTATGTAAAAATTAAAAAAAAATCATAACATTTATGACCAAAAAGGGACATTTTAAAAATTAGCTAATGAAGGCAATGGGTAAAAAAAGTGATCACTTTTCCTGCTAGTAGTCAGGAAGGCTTTACCTGGGCCTTGAGTAACTGAAAAAAAGAAAAGCAAGCCCTGGCCAGTTTTCTTAGTGGTTAGAGCATCAGCCCCAGGACCGAAGAGTCACAGGTTTGATTCCTGGTCAAGTTCACGCACCTCAGTTGCAGGTTCAATCCCTGGCCCCAGTCGGGGTGTGTGCAGAAGGCAACCAGTGGATGTGTCTCTCTCACATAGATGTTCCTTCTCTCTCTCTCTCTCTCTCTCTCTCTCTCTCTCTCTTTCTCTCTCTCTGCCCCCCACCCTCAACCTCCTCCCTCCCTTCTACACTCTCTCTAAAGATCTATGGAAAAAATATCCTCGGGTGAGGATTAAGGACAATAAAAAATTTTTAAAAAAAGAGAGAAGAAAGCATTCAGGCCAAGGTAAGACTATATAATCAAAGTATTGGGGCAGTGTAATCTTCAAAAATATCAAGGTCAGGAAAGACAAACATTGAGACACTGTTCTAGATTAAGAGAGCCATGACAACTAAGTGCAATGCATAACCCTAGCCTGGATGCTAAACCAGAAATTATTTTATTTTGTTCTTTAAGGGCATTATTGGACAACTGGCAAAATCTGAACAAAAATGTTGATTAGATAATAATAATGTATCAATGCTAATTTCCTGATTTTGATCAGTCTACAGTGATAATCTAAGAGAATGTCCTTGTTCTAAGGAAATATACACCTGAAGTAGTTAGGGGTAAAGGGCCATGATGTCCACAACTTGTTCTCAAATGTTTTAGGAAAAAATATGTAGTATTCAAGATTTGTGGTTGGGAATCCACATATGTGAAGGGCCAACTTAAGCTATACACAGATTTTTGTCTGCATTGTGGTTAGTACCCTTAAACCACTGTATAGACATGATGTTTAAGGGTAAAGTGTATGTGTGTGTATACATACATACATACATACATACACACACACATACATATATAAACCAAAGGTGGTTAACTGTTAACAACTGTGGAATCTGAGTGAAGCATCTGTGGGAATTCTTTTCTGTAAGTTTAAAATAATTTCAAAATAATAAGTTTCCCAAAAATGTTTTAACTGATCTTGGGGTAAGAAAGAACAAAGTAGCCCATCTGGCTGATGCAAGCCTAAGTGTGGAATCAGATAGACAATACTGAAAAGGCAAGTCAAGGAAATAAAGTGAGAAGATACAAACATCTGAATTAGATTTGGATTTCAGAATTTAACAGTCTGAGTTAAGAATAATTAGTCAAATAAGATATGGAAAAAAAGATATTTCTAAGACCCTACATACATGGATTACAAGTGCTACCTTCTAGTGGGAAATTAAATCACTGAAAGCTTTAGAAATCTTTATATAGACATTGTTGTAAAAGGAGATGCACACATTTTTATTTCTACCCATTGCTCTGTATGCATATGAGTGTGAACTTGCCAATTTCAAGATTGACTATTCATAATTAGGTATCAGATATAATAAATGAACAACTATCACTCAAATTTACTACAAAAATTTAAAAGTACCTGTCATTACAGGGAATTTTAGGTGGGTCAGGACTATAAGAACAAAAAAAGCTACCATTATGAGAAGTAACTGAGTGAGTTACATTTCTTGAAAATGGTGACAAGAGGATTGGGGGCTAAATATGCAAGGGTTTTAGTTGATCAAGAAAGACTAAGAGTAATATTAAAAACAGAAATGCAAAGGGAGAAACTCAATTTCCAAATAGTAAAGATCTGGAAGAACATAAAATCTATATCAATTAATGCTGAGCAGAGGTTAACATATTTTAATTGTTCTCATGGAGTAGAATGTACTCCTGAAAGATTTGCTAATACAGTATAATCAATCCCACAATGTTTGTCTACTTTAAGAGAATAGAACGAATACATTTTTATAGAAAATGATTTCTTCTGGGGTTTGGAATAAGTGGCATTACAATAGAACACACATTTTTTGGAGAGTAAAATAGTAAAAAAAGAAAATATCAACATAGTAATAATGATAACTTTAACACAAAGGGAGAAAACAGGACAATGTTTATAAAAAATAACATCTACACTAATAATAGACAAATATGTAAATTGACCATACCACCTCAAGACCCCACAGCCAATCAGGAGGGAATATGCAAATTAGCGTGACAAAGATGGCGGCAGCCACGGAACCAGCTGGAGTGGGCGGGAGGCTTGGGTCACCCCTGGTGACAGAGGAAGCCAAGCTTCCTGCCTGCCTGGGCCGGCCCCCAAAGGAGGGGCCTGTGGGTAGTGGCCACGGAGCAGGCCAGAGTGCACAGGAGGCTTGGGTCGCCGGGGGCGACCCAAGCTTCCTACCTGCCCTGGCGACTGCTGAAGGAGGGGCCTGTGGGCGGTGGCCACAGAGCTCTGAGTGAGCAGGAGGCTTGAGTCGCCCAGCCCCTCACCCAGGCTGGTCACGCCCCCATGGGGTGAGGGTCCCCGCTGGGGGGTGTGGCCAGCCTGCAAACAGCCCTCAGCCTCTCACCCAGGCTGGCCAGGCACCCCAGCAGGACCCCCCCCCCTGAAGGGGGTGTGGCCAGTCTGAAAA